GATGATGGTGGTGATGATGGTGGTGATGGTGATGTTGGTGATGGTGATGATGGTGGTGATGGTGGTGGTGGTGGTGATGCTGATGGTGATGTTCATGGTGGTTGTGATGATGGTGGTGATGGTGATAGTGGGGGTGGAGTCTTGGGATTCTTTCTCCTTCTTCCTCCCTCTAAAAAACCCCCGAAATCAATCTTCCTCCCTCTAAAAAACCCCCGAAATCGAAGAACAATGACACCCTTGAAATCACAACGCAGACTTCAGAAGGCGTTATAAATTAAAGTCATTCCAAATATATCAAAAAACAAAATTGTAGTTGTAGTCTTAAAAAGAGAAGTTTTGTTTACAAATCTTAGACGTCTCTGGTTTGCAAAGTGCCTTTTTTTTTCTTTTTTAAAGATTTTGTTTATTTGACAGACAGAGACCACAAGAAGGCAGAGAGGCAGGCAGAGAGAGAGGGGAGGGGAAGCAGGCTCCCCGCTGAGTGGAGAGCCCGATGCGGGGCTCGATCCCAGGACCTGGAGATCATGACCTGAGCCAAAGACAGTGGCTTTACCCACTGAGCCACCCAGGTGCCCCTGCAAAGTGTCTTTTAAACTAACGTATGAGACAATGAATTCATCAAAACAGCACCCCTTCTCGTCTCCAGGCCATAAGCCTCAGCTGGAGGTGGTCGTAAACCACTACCCTGTCCAGACAGAGCAGGTGCACCTTCAAGAGGGAAACCTGGTTCCTGAAGGCGGCTTCACATTCCAGCAGGAGCTACGTGACTCACTCGGTCGTTCAGTCTGAAACACCCAAACCCTCCACCAAGTTTTAAGTGTGAATACATCACTAGTAAAGTTGAAAAATAGGCCCATAAAATAATCAAAGACAAAAATACAAAGTTTCACATTCCCTACGATATTAAACCATCTTCTAAGGTCGAACATCAAGGTCTAGAAAACTGAATGATGACCAAAAATAGCGTTGGATATATGGTAGCAAACTGTTAGAATCCTGCATCAGACATCTGTACGAGCCCAACACTTCAAGATACGTTTCACCAATGATATGCGCTGTCAACAGCTTACTCACCTTATTCTGGCAGATTTGGTGGACAGGCCGGGAATGGGCTTCCACTATCACGGCTGCACTGCGAGCTGCACTGAGGTTGAAAACCTCCAGAATCCTGTTCCTGCCAGCCGCAAGGACCAGATCTGCATGACGCAGTTAGGGAACTCCTCTCAACGATCCGCCAGGGGAGGGGGCGGCCCTGCATATGCGGTGAGCACTTTGGGGCACCAGAAGACACACAAAGGATGACAGCTACAACTGTCTGCGCTCACAGCCCCACGCCCCCCTTCTGCTGCTGGGCAGCCAGCAGCAGGTGCTGAGCCATGGACGAGGGCAGACCCAGTGGTACACGTCTCAAGGCGGGAGGCACAGAGGTCTAACTTCAGTGCAATGAGGTTTGAGGTATCCAGGAAATGCCCAAATCAAGAGCCAGAACGGCAGCTGCATCGCTGGGGACTGAGTTCAGAGGACCGGTCTAAGGGTAAAATCAGGCAGGGCAAGCGTAAACATGGATGGTGCCGCCTGGAGCCCGCCGCACAAGAGCACGCACCTCCCAGCGCGGCGAGCCACCAGCCACGCCTTGCCCACGTCCACACTCGGGGCAAGAGCGGCAGCACGTGGACTCAGGGTTTGCGTCAGCACCAGAATGACCCCGTGTCCGGTGGCCACTCAGAACAGTCATCAGCGGCGTATGTGGGAGAAAGAGCGCCAGGCTCAGTAACCGGCCCAGCGCTCACGCTAAAATATGCAGAAAGCACCGTTTAAGGCCAGAGTACTTGGAAGGACACATTTCTGCTAGGTGTTGTGCTGTGTGAGTACCAAAGGGCGCTAGCAGCACATTTCTAATTAAAATACTCTAAAACCTCTAACGCCTTATCTCAGTCCTTCTGAAATTTCAACTATAAAACTCTTAAAAGAACATAACTTAGACCTCCGAATAACTTCAGATTTTATAAAACAAATTCCTAAAGATCAGAGCTTTTCTTCTAAATAAATCAAAATCAATGTTTTTAACTGAAAGGGATGATGCCAGACAAAAAAAGTAAAAAAATAAACTTCTAGACTCAATTTCCTACTCGGTGTCCCTGCTGTAACTTCTGCTGGGCTCCAGAGAGCTGGGGCAGACTTCTGTTAATGGAAGGATGCCCATCGCAAGTGTACCAGCTCATTTTTTAAAAGCACAAGCTTACTACATATTGTACAACAAACGACAGACCAGAAATGCCGGGTTACATCACCCTGCTGTGGGTCATGTGCTCTGTCGCACGCATGCCCGGTTTTCCTGTGAAATTCTTCTCACCACGGAGATGGAATCGCTATGCACGTAATTATGCAGAAGACGTGAGTGCCCTGAGTCCCACTGCCCCGGCCGGCGCCTGGAGCCGGGACCCTCAGCAGACGCTCCTGCTGGGACGCTGATGCTCAGGGCGTGGGAACCACCAAGAACAGAGGCAAGGATACAGGAGTAGAAGTCGTTTACGGCTGATAAACTGGTAATCCCTGTCGCACCGGTCGTACGGAGCCTGAAGACACGTCTGCACCAGCTCTTCTGTCTGTATCTGAAAAAAAATAAAGATAATCGGTCTTTCTGTTTCTCTCCCACAACTGAGCATTCTACCATTAAAAGGGTTAATATGAAGAAAGTTTTCATATTACTTAGTAATTCTATTTTATAACATCAAAGGAATAAGTCGGCTGCCTTAATTTTCTTTTAGGAAACTCTAACTTTTCCTTTAGGAAAACTTCATGAAAAAATATCATATAAAGCTCCAAATAATTCATTATTGTCTGTGAGAAAGCAAATTTTTCTCCTAATTCTAAAATAATCATGTATACTTAAGAAGACTTCCAACTTGTTATAAATTATCTGTGTTTCCATGAACGCATGTTGTTAATATTTCTAAAGGACAATGTATGCACTTAGTATCAGTTTAACAAACATATGACCTCAAGGACCCCTAACAATTTTGTAAAGGAAAGGAACCTGCTAGCAATATTTCGATGTGATTGTGGCCCAGGCAGGGCCAGGGGAGATCTCTGGGGATGGCCCAGCGGGGCAGGAGCAGGTAGGGGGTGGGGCAAAGCACCAGGACGGCTGGTATCTGAGCCTGCTGGGGGGGGGGGGGCGGTGAGAGCTGCATCAGGGCCCGCGGCCATATATGCAGGCTAGGCACAGAGACAGCGACTCAGGGAGCAGGTCCTGGGGGCAACACATATGCAGGGGTCAGCTACACAGACTCAAGGGCAAACAGAGTCACAGGAGAGGTTTGACAGGAAGCTCAGTGATGACACAAAGATCCCACAAATCACTGCGCATCCCTGCTGAAAAAATGCACGGGATCATACAGTAGGTGGTGAATGGGGTAGAAAGCCGCTGCTTCATGGGGAGGGTCGTGGGAAAGCTCTGCAGACACCACAGACCAGGAGAGGCATGTCAGAAAGATCTTGTGAGCCAAGGGAGAACACACGGGTCTGAAATCAGGTGGCGTTGGGTGGGGGGGTGGGAACAGGGAAGGGACCGTCTGCATTTAAGGCCCACGTACTGCTGTGGCAGAGTAGGCCACGCGGGTGGGCGGGGAGGCTCTGCTCCACGAGAGGGGCGACGGCACACTGAGGGGCCAGCTGGAGCCCTGCCCGAGGAGCAGACAGCGGGGCTGAGGGGCGCTCATGCCTGCGGCCGTGTGAGGTCTGGCGTCCCATCGTTTGAAGCCTCGCCACCCGGCCGGTTCCCGAGAGTCACCCACCCCGGTGGACGCTGGCATTGAAGCGGGAAAGCAGCCTCAGCCCAGGCGAGCAGCAGCCTGGGAAGGGCCCTTCTCGAGCAAGCTCCATGCGGCGTCTCCCCAGACGGAGGCGGTGAGGCTGCCCGGGCCACACACGACCACACTGGAGGGTCCCCCGGTTCACAAGGAACCCCGCGAGTGCGTGGGAGGCCGGCGCGGAAGGACTGAGGCGTGAAGGCCGTCTCCGCGCGCAGCTCTGACTGCTGGACCGGAAGCGGACACTCTGCAAACACAGCACTTCCTTCCAGGGAACCGCACTATCAAAACCCTGAAGACGCCAGAAACACCCGGCTCGTAACACTCAGACCCTAACCTGCCCCAGACTCAGGCCAGGAGGGGGCAGACACAGAACGACACGCCGCAGCCTCGCGAGCCCAGGGGCCAGGAGCTGCGGGGGAATGCGGCCCGGAGCCCACAGCACTCTCTGCCGTCTGCGGGCCACGCGGCCCGCACCCGGCTCACAGGCAGCTGTGACCCGTGGATACACCACGCCTGAGCCAAACCCATCCTGGCCTCAGCGCACAGCTCTTAGCCAAGCGGCTGACCCAGGAGGCGGCGAACCTCCCAGCTGAGATCCGGGGCACCTGCCAGGTGTGCAACTCCTCCGCAGCTGAAAAGCTACCTAATAAGGCTACTAAGCCAAAAACTTGCCCACAGGTCTCCCGACAGGCACAAGCAACTGGAGTGAAAAAGAACCCACAGTGACATGAGACAGACCCTGAGCTCAGACTCCAGAAGCGCGAGCCTGTTCAAACTCATACACCCCACGATAAGACCACCGAGGCGCTGATGGAGGAGGGAAGTCTCCAGCAACTGCCAGTCTATAAACCCAACCATCCCTGCCCACGAGTTCCTGAGACAGGTCCCAGCCCCAAAGGCCTGGGATGCTCCCAGGGTCTGCAGCCTGCTGGCTTTGGCACAGACTCCCCCGTCGTGCTCCTGTAAGAACACGGCTGTGATGCCTGCAGCCACAGCAGCCACCTTGGAATCATACAGTGAGAGCAGCAGAACAGAACAGCACACAAGCCTGTGAGCCTCCTCCCTCCAGACAGCTCCGGTCCAGGCTGAGTGAAGCACCACAGTCAGCTGCTTAGTTACAGGAAGGAGGACAGCATCCCCTGCAGAGAGGGGAGGACAGACAGCCTCCAGAGAAAGACAAAACCTGCCCTCACTGTGTGTGCCACACACAGCTCGCTGCTGGCAGAGCAGATCAGATCAGAGTGAAATCACCCCCCCAGAGCCCATGTGCACACGGGCACAAGGCATCCAGCACCGCACTGGTTCGAGCACAAGGGTGAGTCGGAAGAAGCTGATCTCTGGCAACAAGAGGACGGGAGAGGAAGCCGCAGCACGTTCTTGTTGCATAAAATTTCCTAACAGCTGCTGCAAAGAGACTTAAGCCAAACTGACAAGTATGGTTAAATCTCAGAAACAATTTGGATTACGGTGACAGGTGTGCTGCGGGCACAGGAGCAAACACGGCAATCTCGACAAGAGGAAAGTTGCAACAGCAGAGACTGGAAGCAGCCAGGTGTCCATGGGCGGATGAGTGGATGAAGGTGAGCCACGCCACGCCCCGAGGAACACGACTCAGACATCAGAGAGGGGGAGGCCTTGCCGTGTGCAGCAAGAATGGGCCTGGACAGTGAGACGCTAAGCAAAGTACGAGAAGAGCAGATGCCCCACGACCTCACTTACACATGGAATCTGCGAAACGAAGAACACCAGTGACAGAAGAGCAAAGCTTCCTGCTTACAGAGAACGACCCGGCGGCTGGCGGAGGGGGCAGTGGGGGCGGGTGGGAAAGGGGATGATGACATACAGGTCCTGGGGCTGGGAGTACAGCACAGGGGACACGGTGAACAGAACTGGGTAACGTGTATGGTGGCGGACGGCAGCTTCACTTGCCACAGTAGGAAAAAAAACAGGAAAGAAGGGGCAGGAGCCAGCCTGGGAAGGCAGGCCACGGAAGAGCCCTACAATGTTTTATTTCTTTAAAAAGTCTGAAAGCAAAACAAGTGTTAATACTTGCACAGGGAGGTGCGAACACGTTTGATCTGTGTATTTAGTGTGTGTGTGTAGGAAATGGTTCGTGGTTTAACTTCACTACAAACACAGCAGGAATCGTCCCACATAACATCAATCAGAGACATTGCTGAGCCAAGGCAAGAGCTCCACGTTCCGAAGCCCGGAGCTTCTGGTCACACCGAGGCCCCCGCACGCAGCACTGACGAGCTCCAAGGAGGGACAAGCCCGCCGCTCAGCTCTCCCAGCAGCCTGTGGTGAGGCGACTCAGTCTGGTGCAACACCACCTGTGCCCCAGCATGAGCCACGGCCTCCCGCGCACAGGGAGCAGGGACAGAAGAGCCGGCCTCACACCTGCGGATCTCGTCCTTGCTGTCGTCGATGTGGTGCCTGAGGAGCTGGAGCTCGGGGCCAGAAGACGACAAGATGAAAGTGTCCAGGTAGTAAAACTGTGCGGACCCAACGGGCTTGGAAAACATGTCCCTGCCCTGGAACAGAAATCGGGAATCACAGCCACCGTAACGGAGGCAGAGGACAGACACGTGGAGACGGTTTCCCACCAACCCACACACCCACTCCGGACGTAGACACTAGTTCACCCGGGTGTCTTCCTCTGACCACTTCTGAAAGATGTCACGTGACTAAAATGTTCCTGTAATGAGTATTTGAATCCCAGCTACTTAAAAACTTTAAAATAAAACAAAGTTGATACTTAGCAGTGACATAGTCAGTGCTGGAGTTTACTAAGGACAAATTCCAACCGTGGGACACAGCTCTGAGGCGTCAGCCCTCAGGTGTGTCCTTCAGAACCCCCAGTGTCACTCATGGGAAACAACAGCATCCACGGCGCCGAAGCAGACCCGTGCCCTTGCAGTTGCTCCCACACACCTCGTGCTGGAGCCCCCGCTCTGATGGCTTCCCTTCCTGCTGGTCTTCCTGGAGGTGAGTCCCCCTTTCCCACTGAGACCCGTAGGGGGTCCACGGTAACCCCAGCTCTGAGAACCTGCCGCTCGCCAGCCCTGCTCGGACTCGTGGGGACACGGCCCCAGGATCCCCTCCCCTCCCTGTCTCAGCCGCGACATCATCACCACTGGCCCTTCTCGCCGCTCCTACGGTCTCCAAATGGTCTCCTCTAAGTGCAAACGCTCACGGGTAACTGTGCACACGTCCAAGTGTACACGTGCCCGTGTGTGTGCATGGCGGTCACACGTGTACAC